GAATTCCGATATATTGGACATCGCCAAATATACTCTTCCGATCTCCTCGACTCTGTCTTTTGATTTCTCTGGGCGGGAACGAAATATATTAGGTGTTACTGGTAGAAGCGTTGTCAAACACTGAATACCTGTGACATCATCACTTTCAAAAATAAAGTGAAAAATTCGTGCTTAACGAAGTTGCTAGTGAGAGATCTTTTTAAGCCGTTTAGTCGTAGATGTCGTAAAACTTAAGATCATAGGGCTACATTATACCTAGATCTTTTTGCAACCTGTGACACCTACCGAAGTATGAGCTGCTTTAATTGTGTGTGCAGTTCAACACGTATCCCAGATAGACTACATTACGCTCTGAAATGTTGAAACTAATTGCACCTCTAACCACCAAACTTTGACGTGAAGTCGGATCTTCATAATGTTAGCTTGTCATCCGGGTTTGAAACCTCTCTCCACAGTCTAACGCCAGCAAAAAATAAGGCTTTAGACTATGGTTTTTGACGAAGATCACCGATATAAATCAAAAGGAGAGTTTTAGTATTTAACTTTTGGGGACCTCACCAGAACATTAGTGGCCAGGGAAAACGTGTGCTTCACTTTAAAAGACAGACTACTGAGGTATTACGAGCCATTCGACCTACTACCTCAAAATTACCGATGATATATATATGATCGACTCAACTAAAAGCCCTGCATGAATCGACATGCATAACATCCATCTCCGTCTTACGATACAGGACGGATACCTATCTCTCCACAGGACTTATCACATTAGGAATTCAGGACTGACCCTCCCCGAAATGGGTGAATGGAATTTTTGGATGTTATAATCGGTACTTTAACCACGATTAACTAGAGATTTCATAACACTTGGAGTTTTATAAGGAGATTAACCGTTGGGTGGTTCGAAGTACCTTTCAATCGGCCTCCTTTGAAAATTGTCGTGATGTGTCTCAGCTTTCAGTTGTCTGGAATCGCATCTTGGCTCAGTAAAAACCAATCCGTTTAGCCAAATTGAGGGGACTGTTCTCATCAGAGGAGGATTACCCGTCTTCTGGCAAGTAACCGATTTCTTGTTAAAATATTCAAGTCTTCGGTATTCCAGTTCGGTGCTTAGAAACACCTCCAAGATTCTAGTTGAGATGCACTTGAAGCTATCACCGACGTGGGTTGGAATGTATGAAAATGCTGCTTTGCTAGGGGATGTGCAAGATCATCATCCATGTTGGCAGTGGGATTAGTACCCAACAACCATGAAGGTTTGGCTTTGGCTGTTCAGTAAAAGGTGAGATGATGAAATACGCTTTTTTGATCAGAAACAAGGTTATTGATTTTATTCTGGTGTTCTTCGTCTTTTAAAGCCTTCCCACAAAGGCTCCTAGCCTGATAGAATGCTTGTATGAACTTTCACAGCTGATTTAATTGAATTTCCTTCAGTAACATCCTTTTAGTTTCAGCTTTTGTAAGGCATGATTTTGCGTTGCTTGCAAACTTTAGGGACCGTTTGTGCGACATAATGGTCTGTTATATTTAAGATCATGTTCATTGGGAAGCCTGGTGGTCAAACTGAACTTCGCCGTTCTAATCCATGTGCTCTAGATTTCCCTTTAATGCCACCTTTTGAGCCTAAACGTTGTTGTACTGAGGATCGCACAGTTCCATCTTGGAAACTAAACCAAAGGTCGCCCTCGCTGAATGGGATCTAAAAAGGCGCTGCATGTGTAACAACAAAGCTTATTGTTTAATACGTCAAAACATCAGACATTCAAATCTCAGTCTTCAACAGAAAGGACACGAGTTCACTCAACCTATAGTAATCGTTGCAATTTGCAGTACTGTGCAAATATTATGTCGCTCTGGAAGTATCAACAGATAGTGCTGATCTTACGTGTTCTGGTAGAAAATTCCAGTAAACCATTACTCGGTGCGAAAAGGGAACGAGGACTGCACCCTAGGGAACTCCACATTTTACAAACTCTTACGCCGATACAGCTTAATTTATCCGTACCCTCTATCTCCTATAACTAAGAAAGTCATGTATTCAGTCTGTGGTTTCTCAATGGATCACAAAACTCCAGTTTTAACTTAATACCCAGGTGAGAGACTTTGTCAAAGGCTTTACTTAGACCTATGAGGATTACATCTGCCAGAATATTACTAACTTTTGCTGCAGCCTAATCTCTTGTAATGAGCAGATTTATCGATCATAATAGGCCTTTCCTAAGACCGTGTTGTTCCTTGGACAAGAGATTGATCCCTTCCATATAGTTTAAAATAGCCATCCAAATAAGCTATTCCATTAGTTTCACAACAAAACTGGTTAGACTAACGAGGCCATAGCAACTAAATAAGCCCCTGCATCCCGCCTTATACACCGGACTGATGACTTCGTCTTTCCAGTCTCTTTTCAGTCTGAACTGCTGCAAAAACGTATTAAACATTATTAATAGAAGCTCAGCAATTAAGTCCCCCTGGGCTTTCATAATCACAAAATGAATGAAATCAAGACCACTAGACTTGTCCGGTTAGTGATGTTGAAATGCTTGTAATGCAGCCCCTTTCTCAACGACTACAGGATCTGTCGGCAAGCCATCATCATCAGAATTAATTGTTGGTTGCTCGCCAATGTTGGTGGAAGACACTTTTCTAAAATATCTTGATAAAGCTTCTTCATTATCATTTCTTGTCCATATAAACGGATATTTTCGTGTCAAGTGTGGTGAGATTCGATCACTTCTCTTAGATAGCCTCTTGATATACGAGAACAATCTTTTTGGACTATTTTCATAATCCCGAAATAAGTGTTTTTCGCATAAATGTCTGGCCTTACCAACGCCTTGCAAGCATTCCTTGTCTTACAAAAATGGACCTATAATGTTTAGAATCTGTAGAGATAAACATAATCCAACGCTTTTTCTTACGTCTAAGAAGTTTTATGACCTGTTTGGTTATCAGTGGTGAAAAGTTATTTGCTATACATAATACTAATCACTATATAGACGGGAGCGTGGATAGGTCAGTCATACCTTAAAATATTGACCATGTTTCTCTAATTGACGAGCTAGTATTTACTGACCGATTTGTTATTGTATTTCACACTTGGGTGGCCAATATTTTTTCTCCATACATTTGGGCGAGCTTTGACGTCATTGTATATTGTGTCAGAAGCCCTAAACATGAATGATAAAACAGCATGACCATCATATGTTAATGGTGGGAAAATATTTAGATTAACGATATCCTCGGTTTCATGGGTGATTACTAAGTATAACACAAATCTTTGGTTTGAGAAAAGACGTGTAGGTTTGAATGCATGTTGTATTAAGGTATGCCAAGTTACCATTATCAGAAGCCTACTATCGAAAGAGTTCTCAGATCTTACAGTGTCCATCTCTGCCCAACTAATATCAGGTACATTGAAATCTCCTAATATCACTTATTGGTTATTTTTATTTCATAGCTGAATGTTCTCTTTAAAAAAGTCACCAGCTAGGCAGGTGACACCAAGTGCAAAGTCACGACCATCGAAAGTAAATTCTCAGCTGGTTACTTCATAAATTGCACCATGAGATTCACCAACAAATGAACGGATGTTTATAGTATCAGTAATGTATGTATGGACCTCACCCCCACTATTTTATCCATTCCTATAACTTATTAGGGAATCGTTACCGAAAATTCTGGAGTGACGTCAAAGACATAGACCAACCAAACCTAGGTCACAGCTACGATAAATGGCTTTAATTTGTCCAGTAGTACTTCCGGTTCATTGAATTTTCCTCTTAGACCACTTGAATTTGCATATAAGACACATGAAGAGAACGACCTATCCATACATGCCATACGGATTCCGTTTCCAAGACCTGACTAAACTGAAACCCACTGAGCGAAAATTTTCTCCACCATTTTTTGACGCCTTGTTTGTTCAGCTAACACCGTCTTCCTCTTTATTCTGTCTTACGGAGACATGTTAGTTCTTACTCGAATGTCGGTACTGTTGTGATTTCATTGTTCCTCGGACTATAGGCTTAACCTAAGCAGTCTCTTACCTATTCTTGACAATTTTTTGATCTAAAATCTCGTACAGTTATCTGGTTAGGTGCTACTAATAAATGACCCAACCTTTTCTTAATCATGTACGTGTCTCGTTTTTGGGATCAGGATCGTTTCACTTTAGTAAGTTATTATTTCGATGAGATCAAGCTCTTTTCAGCCACGCTAGGGTTAAGTCCAGTCTCACTTTTAGAACTTTGCGTTATATTATGTGACTTAGTATGAGGGCCTGTCAAAGGCTTTTCAAACAAATGGACTATAATGTGACTTTTTCTCGTCTTCTTTGTTTCCACACTTGTCTCGAGACAGGCACATCGGGACTACATGAGCCGTTTTTATTTGGATCTTCAGGTACTACATCAAAATCTTGACCACCAACACTCATTGATATTTCACTCTTTGTTTCACAAGGAATTTCTCTTTCTTATGTTTCGCAATTGGATGTTTGGCTCGTCTTGTAACAACGCGTACTATACTGATACGTTCTTCATAGTCACTGCTCATGTAACCTGTGCAGCCACCATCAAATTTCTCACTGGCGAGCGCCTGAAGGCTCACCACCCCATGGATCAGTAGTGTCTTACTCGGACAGCAGGACTTCCAAAGCCAATGAGAGTTAGCTCTCGCGCATCGTTTATGTGGAGTGAGACTTAAACACTTCGTGGAACCCTCTAGAACGAAGAAACAAGTTTGCTGTCCACATTTTGGAGTACAAATGACTTCAGTAAACACATTTCAAGTGCAAAGATTCGACAAAATAGCAAGGTAATCACTATAGTGAAAAAAAGAGTGCCACAAAAAGGATAAAAAGAAAATGTCAACCCTTAACCTGAACAAATCAAGTTAAGGCGGAAGAGGTATTCCTTTGATGCAGTGAATACACAAAACTAAAAAAACACGTAATTGAATCAACTATTCGGTTTTAAAACGTGCGATAAATAGTTGTAACATTTATCTAAAAATGCAAATAACAATAAAATGGGATATTGAGAAATTCCATAGACTACTTCAAATCAAGTCCTTAAAATCTTCTCTTCTCAACTACATTGAAGTCATGTGATGAACATTGGACTTCACGCGGTTTATGAAGAATTTTGCCGCGAGATGGAGAGTTTTTGTCCGGAATGCTTGCGTTCCGGCTTTTCAGTACCTTTATTGAAAGTTAAGTCATCTGCTGGTTCAATAAATGGAATCTGCTCCTCAAACAAGTGTTCATACCCATTTTCAGTGTACTCTGATCTGCAGTTATCACGTAAGGTAAAGTTATTGGTTGACACTTGTTAGTTTGTAGAGGTGTAGATGACCGTGCATCAGAAGAATCTCAAACGGTCCGTGGTTTCCTTGATGAACTGTTTGGTATGGATGTCAAAAATGGAGACGATGGAAGTTCGTTCAAAGGTGTTGACTCCTCTCACCTGTACAGTGATTGTGTGCCTACAAGTTCATCTGGTAGTTTCGATTTGATTCAACAAGATGTTTGCGACAGTTCTCCGGTTGACAATCTCTTCCAAAACAATTATATGCTTCCAAGATACTTAGCAGATGATATGAAAAGAAGTAAGTGCATATGTTTGTTTTCACGGAGTAAATGTTGACAAGCTTGTCAAGTTCTTCGTAGTCATTCTTTCAAAGATTCTTAACGTATGTAAGCACCTTATTATCTCAAATAGCAGAAGTCCTATGCGCCTTTGATGTTGTCTTAAGCTTTTCACAATTACTCAACAGATCAGACAAATAAACAGATTTTCAAAACGTTCACACAAAGTAGTTTTAAGCTTTTTGCTTATATACCAACGACAATTTACTCGGAAACTTTTTCTTAACTAGCGAGTAATGACAAGACGAAGTTAGTAAAGTTGTATTGTTCAAACAGTTAACTAGAGATTTCAACCCACTTGATTACTAGTCTTTCGGTCATTTCACAGTCCTTAGTTCATTACTTAGATTAATTTAACGGCCATTGTCGTATCATCACGCGCTAATAAAAATGTTGGTGAGACTATAATTTATAGGTGACCTTTGAGCGACGCTAGACTAACCTTGAGTGTCCGCTTACTTACTAGGGCTAAATAAGGGTTATAAAGCAGTTTGAAGAATAAGGATTATGATTTACAGTTGATGGTTAGGGTTAGGAATTAGATTTAGAGTTTTCATCACGAACTGACATCAGTTATAATGCCAAAATTCTATTTATCCAGATAAATGATTGAATTTCACGCCAAAATCCAAGATCTGTTATCGTGAATCTGATTGGTTCGTTCGTAAATTATAGTCTCGCCGAAAGATTTCACCTATCCAAGTGATATAATGATTTTCTATATGCTTTCATACGATTTTGCCTGAACACCGATTACCACGACGTACAATGCTGACTAGTGTTGGGGATGGTTTGAAGAAAGTTAGGGGTGGCCAAATCAAAACGTGGCATCAGTCCTTGAATTCACTAACTTCTAGTCTTAGCCGTGTTGGTAGTTGCAGACTACTTGGTTAAGGTCCGCGTGACTATCGTAACGAATGGTTGGAGACTGGGGGAAATGACCCAGAATCGATCACAATGCCGTCGGTATATACACTCTCTGTCTTCCCTTGAACTATGAGATTAAAATTGATTTGTATCTTTCATTCTACGAACTAATTCTTTCTTCCTGTGCTATATCATTATATACAATCTTTCTTTTATATATTACTACTATTGGAGTAACTACTTCTATGAATTAGGTATTCATCTTGTTGTGCTAATGTGGTGTGGCAACTTGAACTGATGCATATATGTGCCTAGTCCTACATTGTAGCTGACTGAGTTCCTAATATATATTTCTCCCAGATCTTTACTTAACACATTGCAGTTGTGGCCATTAATACACTAATTAAAAGCTCTTTTCGATGTAAGGTGTCAACCAATAATGACTTGATACAGCAGTTACTAGGAAGTCCTTTTACTTAGAGATTTCCTGTAATTTATCCCCAGAATATATTAATAGATTATTATTGTTTGTTAAATAATTAGAATTCAAACCCACTGCCTTCCGTATTCATTTGTTTTCTAGGGATGCGCTTTGTTTTACCAGTGAAATGTGCATGATTTAACTTAATTACTTCATTGTAATCACTCATAACCTTTTTATTTTATATCTTCCAGTTATAAGTGAAGATTTATCCTATTCAAAACGTCCACAGTTCCAAACTACGAGCAATCCCCACATGTCTGAAAAGTTCAATCGGAGTAGTGACAGCGGAATTTCAATCTCTTCGCGGTCTTCTAAACCATCTACTCTTAGCTACAGCGAACATGTCGCCCAGCGGATGTCAAACCAAAGCGATGCTATTTCAACCTCTAAATCAGTTTCTATATCTTCTTTCCCACTCGACAAAACAAAGAATATGGCCCATTTTGATCGGTTGGTTAAACTTCAAGAAGAACGAATGCAGCTCCACTAATGTGTATATTCATCCCACCCTCAAAGATGCTTCGAACTTCTTTTATTTAAACCTACAAATCAGTTTGTCGATACAAACCTTTATGTACAGGCTGTTTGACTTTTTTCCAAAGTCATCCAAATAAATTATGCCTCTCTTCGAGACTTTTCAGTATGCCTGGATTTCTCACGTACTTTACTTGTGGATCTTATTAGTGTTAAAAACCCTGCATTTTTCTTTCAACAACCCGTTATCATTATCAGTACTTCGACATAGTCATCTGCCTTAGTCATTTGATGACTCATCAGCTGATGAGCGAAGTGTAAGAATAATATTTCAGAGGTCCATTTCCACAGCACTACGAATAAACGACCTATATACGATATAATCGTTTTCCTTCAATACACATCATTGTACTATGTTTAAGACAGTATATTTGAATAATGCTGTTCTATGGATCATCTTTCTGTTGACGGTTAGCGTTTTTGTATTTTTAAATCATCGTTAAGTAGACCAAAACCTGACTGGTAGTATTTACGAACGATCGAAAAGTAATTTACGTGAGCAATGCAACTAGCATAAAGAATGATTAGTGTTCCACTGGTATGTGTGTGTATGAATTGAATGACGGATCATCTAATTTTATCCTTCTAAATGTATAGAGCTATGTTTCTTAAAAACATTTCCCATCAGGATAGTGAAAGTGTCAAAAGCCGCTTTTCTTGGTAATGTAGGCTTAGTATTGTTGTGTATACCGTTCTACTATTTACAGGGAAGACTACATTCATTAGCAGCGGGTAGTAGATGGATATCAAGATTGCTTCCTGGAATTTCCAACTAAGCAATTTTGTTCTTTCCAGTTATATTGAGTGCACTCTGAAAAAACTGGTCATCATAAACGTCCACAATCGTGTTCGTTTTTGATAGAATTATTAGATAAGAATATAACGAGGCTGCTATTTTGGGAACTAGAAATATAAACTTGTTGCACAAGTACTCTTTACTAGTGCTTTTTCAGTTACCATGGTACTAATGATATTGGAATTAGCCTTAACAATATATATTTATGTATATGGTTTAGCTTTCAACCACTGAATTTGGGTCTCGATTGGTCTACCTATCACCAGTCATGATACAGCAAATATGACTACTAGCTTATACTACTGCAGGGGGTCCGAATTCCGGGTTCCAATCCCACTCTACCTTTTTCAGTTTGACCAGATGAGTAGTATCACTAGCTCTCACATTTAGTGTGGTTTATATCCAGGTACTTACTGAATGTGTTAATTAAACTATAAGTTGTTTGTAGAGAACTCTGAAGGCAGTCTCCAACATTTTAGAGTGGTGATAGTAACAAAATAATTCTTCTGAAAAATAACCTTCCAAGTGTCTTTAGGTTTCATTTTTGGTGTTACAGTATTCCGAGTAATTACTATAGACTGGTATTTGTACATTAAGATCGATATTGTACAGTAAGGACATCTGTAATCAAATATCACTATTTGTATGTTTTCGTAAGTAAAAAACATGAAACCTTGTAAGGTAGTACATCGGGACCAAGTAAGTCTTCTAATTGATTTCCTAAAGTTGAGACATTAATCCTAACAGACCCTTACATTATCACTTGGTAGGTATACCTCTAAATCTATTATTTAGTAGTATTTTTTTGAAGGTATAAACCACATGATCTAAATCAAAACCAGTAGTGTCTGATCCCTGTTTGTTTGTATTATTTGTGACAACGATATCAGTTCTTTCGTAACTAAGAGTACTTTTTTTACAAAGTAGTAGTTCAGTACTCACTGAAATGCAATCTATCGCCCAACGCATACATCGGTGTTGGAGAAAATATGAGGTCTTCAAAGCTGGCGTGTACATAACAATTGGTGCAACGTTTACCCATTTTATTCTAAAATCGGAAGTTCCAAAAATTTCATTCTCACAGCCTGTAAATGCAGCTGAAATAATTTACCCTTCTCTTGTCGGCGCCCCAAACCTCCCAATAAACAATGAAGCTTTTCATACTTTGGGAATGCCATCATCAAGTCATCTTCGTGTTTTTGACGGCTATATATGTGTTTATGATCGTCGCAACAGAATTCCATATTGGGTAATGGAGCATTTAAACCCTGCTAAACTAGATCAAGTTGATATTGATAAGGCTGGAGTAGATCGGTATGTTTTTATTTCGTAAACACATAGAATGACATTTTAGACCAAGATTATCTTATTTAGTATATTTACTGGGACCTTTATCAGATTGCTTTGAGCCAACTTGTTTACCTAGATGTTAAGGATGGAGCATAACACAATTTAGTTTAACGAACTTTTTTATCAACTCTTAACTAACTTCACATACTTTACTTAAAGACGTATGATATTGTAGTAAATAGCTTAAACCACAACACAATATAAAAAGGTATTTAAAGACTAATCGCAAGAGTTTTTGATATATATTGTGGTTGATAGACATCCCAAAGTCAGAGTTACCAGCTTAAAAGGTTGATTGAGGTGCAAATTGAGCTGATTAGAAGAGTAGCCGATCAAGTTCAAGTAATCGTGAAAGGAAACAGACCAGAGTATTGAACTAAGCAATAATCCAAAGTCAATTAAAATAGAAAATAAATCCTAGTTAACGGTCAGATGTTACTGGGATTTAGACCAAATTCGTAGGATTACAATATGGAAATCACTAACGACCACCTACTGGATTGTTTTAGATTTAAATTTTACTCATTCATTCTCAGCATCATGTCGATCAAATATTTAAAGATTTTATTTTGTAAAGACGAAATCAGTTATTTAAAGGGCTCGTATAGCATATTCACAAAAGTCAATATTTGGACGAAAAATTGTCTTCAACAATCACATCTTAAGGCTCTCTAGTTATAAATTTGTATTACAATAGCCTATAAATTAGCACGTGGTGATATTACTATTACTTAGAATTAGAACAGACTGATCCCTTCAACTAGTAGATAAAGTTACATTTCCTGTTAATGAATTTCATGAGAAGGGTCATATTATTAACTGTAATTAGACCATGAACTATTCACATAATCAGAGGTTTATTGAAGAAGATGGCTAAAGAAAGCACCAAGATAAATGAAATTGAAAAATCTGAAAACAACCATTCAACAGGATGATCATTAGAATGAGCTGATTTAACACTTTTGGGACTGGTAACAAACTTACTCTTACATAAAGTAAGTACTCATGATGTCCAGAACAATGAAAGCTTCATAATTATGCTGTTCAGCTCAGAAAATTTAACCCCACTAAAAGCTATGAGGTTCGCAAACCTTGAGCTTCTGTCATTTTACTAATCTGGCATACTTGTGAGCTTTCAACACTCAAGGTCGGATACTATTGAATATCATTTTCGTCACTTGGTAAAACCTTAATTGCTTATACTTGTTATTGTGATCCATATTACGGTAAAATAATTGAATTAATAAATTGCTTGAATGGCTGAACTGATGATTACCTTACCAAACTGACCCCTTGAACACTAAAAGAATAGTTATTAGAAGTAAGAATCATTGACCAATAGATTATGTTTATGAGTTAAGACTGCTGCTCATACACCAAACATATTAAACCAAGATAGTATGGCTTTTCGCTTAACAGATGGTTAATCGAGGATAAAATGTATTACAACGCGACGAATAACTATTAACTTTCCTGTCATATCATGTCTTTACGAACTCTTTCCAAAAGATCCCTTAATAGTATTATATTTCATAAAGAGGCATTTTCGGGTAAATTTTTCCAAAATACGAAAGGGCAATATGTCTTGAAACACATTTTAGGGATCTTGAATAATCAGTAATTTAAACTATCCCAACTGTCGCATTTTGTATTAAATAATAGTAAAATAGGTTAATACATACTTGATGTAGGAAGGACTATGCAACTTTTTACGAATCCAACGTTTCAAAGAGATACAGAAGTCCATCAGTTTGGATATCCGATAATACTCAAAACAAGCTGACTAGAATTGTCTATATACTTTCTAAAATTCCAAAGTGTATACAAGTTCACTTGACATAACTATGGGAGAAAGTTATTGGGAGTTCAAATTACATAGTGCCTAATGTGAGCTTGATCTCATACTTTAAAGCTTTCGAAATGCTATTTTCAATGAAGCGTAAATCCAGTTCAAGTTTGAGAATTTCTCGTATTTTCGAGTTTGAGTAAAGAGATATCAAATGTCAGTTTAAGTCATTTTTAGCGTTTGAACATTATGTAAGTTTTTATCTACCAGCTTGAACAAAAAGTAAAAAGTCTAATTGTTTTTGTCAAATTAGTACCTCATCGGGAAACAAGGAAACTGCTTCAAAGCGAAACTCCTGACTAGACCAAAGTTAGCTCAATATATTATACACAAAATTTGGCGTCCATTAAAGACGATTATAAATGTTACAAAACTATTCAAGAAAGAAGAACACCTACCTATTTTCCTAGGTGATAACCTCCGTAAGAGGATAATAACGCTTACATTAAGAGAACTAACTCTGTTTCTTTAAACTGTTACATTTGTTTGAAAAATTAACAGTAAGGAGTTCGATTTCTATGAAGATCTTGGTGAAATTGAAATGTTCCGTTCTACTAACAAGGATTATTTGAACTCTGGATATGATCGTGGTCATCTGGCCGCTGCAGGAAATCATCGCCTCAGCCATTCAGCTATGGGACAAACTTTTATATTGAGCAATATTGCACCTCAAGTAGGTATCGATATTGGAGCTTAGTTTCTTTTTTCGAGAATTATAAAAAAATATTAATCTATTAGCCATCTAGAAATTACAGAAAGAGTCTCTGTCGCAAGCTAAACTTACGTGCTCCATGGAAAGTTCCCAAAAGCTTGTAGAGGTCGGCACCATGTCAAGCTCATATAGGTCATCCTAGCTTCTGGACAGATCAATTTATTCGTTTTTGTCGAACACATTCCGACCTTGTCAATTATTCGCTTGTTAACCCTGACTTTTTATACGATCGTATGTGTGTTAATTGCTCACCCTACTCATCACATGTCTATAACTTATTTTTATCTAAATATAAATATTGAGTCACGAGTTGGCCCACCTGTTTTCTGCGCTGCCCTCCACTTTGTTTCGCTCCGCTTCCTTCACTTCATTTCTCTAATTGTCTGTCTGGACCAATGAGTGTACGAAATATAAGTATTTGAGATTCATTCTCGTATTTGACGTATTCCGTTATTCTCTAACGCTAATTAGGTCGATAAAAATATACGACGTTTAGCGGCATGTATATTTTAATAGCATTCATCATAAGATCTAACTGAAGTCAGACAAAGGGCCATTAAAAGCTGTTTTTTTAAAAGTATAAATGAGAAATATACAAGACTTAAAAGTGAATAAGTAATTCTCTCAAAGATACAAGTAATCACGAAACGGTAATCATTTATCATCTTTAGGTGATTGTCAATCATTGATTTATTAATTTTATTGTTTACATACTTATTGAGAGGATTGATGATAAACGATCGTCTTCTGATACTCTTGGTATCGTTGAGTTTATTTTATGTTTCCAGTAGTATACGACCAAGCTTTCTAATAGATGATGTTTGTTTACGTGTGTATTGTTTCACCTTTAATCTAGGTTGGGTATGGTTTCAATCGGCACGGTTGGAATAGCCTAGAGAAGTATATACGTGCGGTTGCAAGAAAGTCACACAATATGGTTGTTATTACAGGACCATTGTTTCTACCCCAGTAAGTAATCTAATTACATTTTGATGTCTGATTACTCAATTTGCTTTTGGTAATAAGAATAATAGATTGTTCATGTATATATATTGATCTTAATTAAAGCTGGAATGTGTCTAGGTGTATCAAGTAATTTAATTAACCCTGACAAAACTCATCGATTTTATTCAATCTCAGATTGTAGAATATTAATTATTTTTTGTGCTGACATCAACTGATCTTGAGATTGCTGAATACAAAAGAACAAGCTGTATAACTAACCATTTCGATTGAATCAATTCATAATTCAAGTCACCGAATAGTAGTTGTTTACGTTTAGGAATCTAAGGTTGCTTTGGCTAAATAATGTAAAAGTTCATAGATATTGACTTTTTATTGAAATTTAATGTCTGTAACTAAGCACAAGTTCATGTATTCGACATTGAGCCACACCTTTCATGTTGTAAGAAAAAATAATGCACCCTGACTGCTCAAACTGAAGTAGTTTCTGAAGGTGAGTCTAGTCATTCCATCAGTTAAATTAACTTTGAGTGCTATTAAAATGATAAAACTATACTATACTGGCAACCTTGAACAACTCCGAAAATAACTTAGTTATTGACCAATCAGAGTGTAGCTGATATTGTGGTGCGTGCTACTTATATTGATATAAGTAGTATATAACGTGAGTCAAAAGAACGCAATGTCTGGCAGCAGAAGATGGAGAAGATCAAGAAAAGAAGAGCGAGAAAACAATGGACTTTGTAAGAAATCGCATGAACAATGAAATGCGAGACAATGGATATGATAGAATGACATTTTGCAAATTAACGATTTACTATATGGTTTTTCTATTTTACCAAGTAATTCTGTAATTTGCCCTAAATACAATTTGGCTGTCCTCACCCGTGTTCTTCTTCACTACAATATAATTATTTACTTTATTACAAAAAAAAGAAATTCATGCGGCTTACCTGATCAGTATGCCTACTAAGGCTCACAGTAAGTCCAAGAGTCCTTATCTCGAACATTAATGGTTTGTCAATATTGCAGTTTTATTATACCTATCAATTCATCATTTCACATGTGCCATACTAAACATAATTTTCTATTTTGTCTGTGCAATGTATATCTCTAAACGTTTTGTTAATTAAAACTATTTTTCAATACTATTTCAGAAATGTAAATGGCAAGAAAATTGTGACTTATGAAGTAATTGGTAACAATAATATTGCAGTTCCAACTCATTTCTTTAAAGTGGCAGCTATTCAAAATAAACCGAATGGAGAATGGCATCAAGTAGCTTGGGTAATGCCCAATATTCGTTTACCTGAGCAAATTAAAGTGGATGGTTTTAGAGTTCCTGTTGAAAGTGTTGAAAGTGCTTCAGGCTGGAAATTTTTCCCTAAACTTAAATCGTAGCAAAACTATTGAAAGTTTGTACTTATATACTTCATATTTATACCTTTTTTAGTTGGTATTTATAATTTTCCTTTTCCTTAAGATATTTTATATGGAATTATATTTTCTTACTCAAATATCCTTTTATTTTTTTAATTGAAATAATCTGGGACATGAAGTTATTTTATTACTCAGGATTAATAATTGAGGTTTGTGACTGATTGGTCAAATCGACAGTAAGAAAGCCATACAATATGGGTATACTGAGAATCATTCATATATTCTATTCATTGAACAGAGATTTCCTTATACTCTTGTAAGCCAGAGTTGGTTATGAATCCAAATATTGTCCAAAAGATTTATAGGAAAGATTACATTTTAATAATCGCTCTTTCGTGTACATATGTTGACAATACTCTTAAAAGCAAGGCAATAAATTGACGTATTAAGAAGTAACAAACCTATGAAGGAGAAATATCTTCGACCCCAGTAGTAGAAATCAAGAATTCTCTTGCGTGAAATTCCATAGGAATTGCAATGGTTCAATTTTAAAAATGGTAAGTAACAAATAGACTATATAAACTGCTTTAAGAGATCTAGCTACCAAAAATGAAAGTATGTGAGTCTTATTCAAAGAAGAGATAACCCTATTCAAATTACCATAAGCATTAATACAAAGAAACGAAACAAATATTTGGTACAAACAAACAAGTTTAGTAATGTTAGTATATACTACTTAGATTTGTGTTAATTTAGAAAGGGTTGTCTATTGTCTGGTAAAAAAATGTACATACATATATTTATGTTCATTTTTTGAAACAGTTTATTCTTTGACCTTGATAATGTATCATGAGACTGATAATTTGTTACGTTTGTGGTGTTATTTTTTGTTAGAAAACACCTTAAATGTTAAAACTTTGTATTTTGTAAGAAGCTGACAATTTACTAATACATAGACGTTCTGTCGACCATATTTGACATGATTAAGTAAATATGTAGAGTATTATAAACTTATTACGTACAATTTGCAGGACGAATTAGAGCCCCTGGATTAATTTAACAAACTGTCTTTATGCTACTTACAAGTAGCGTAAATAGATTGGTTTAGTAATCAGTAAGACAATTTCAGGCCATTGATATGTTTCTTCTTCAATTGCGTAAATGCAAGTTTATATACCACTGGTAATAAGCTCCTTAAAATGCCTCTCCTAACAAACATTTCATTTGAAAATATAATGTATATAGAAATGGTGCTGATTTATCTAACATAGATGAAAGAGATCAGGTCTTCATCAAATATGTGCAGTTTCTTTATCTACTCTAATGTCAGTGTATTTAACACTCATTTAAAGGGTATTCTATCTTACAAAGATATAAACGGGTAATAAAATTCTAAGAACATTATATCGCCAAAGGAATTTATTTATGATTAATTATAATAACCAAATCATAATATTTACCGATAAAATGAGACCTCAAAATGGAAAGTTTAAGTTTTTCAACCATTATTGTTAAATTAAAAAGAAGAATATATTTGTAAAATCTCAGCGAATGAATTTTTTAAGTAAATCCAACGTTTCGCCTGGCAATCTGGTCCTTGAAAAAGCTTTGATTCTGTTAAAATGTTATCAAACTAATTAATGTTCATGACCTACAAAACATATTTATAGTAAAATGTGGTTAAAGTTTGTTTTTTCTAATAAGGTCTCTGTCAGTTGGATCAGAAGAATGTAATAAGATACTAGTTTTAGATGGACATACTATACAAATATATAACCCTGAATTATGTAATTAAAATCGATTGAATGAAACTTTCACTTACACATAATACTTAGATATAACTGATTCTTGCAAAAATACCCTTAGTTTCTAGATAAAACAATAGAAAATATGAAATAGAAGAAGGAAACCTTTAAAAGTATTTTTTTCATTTCAAAGATTTCTGAAGTTCATGAGAATGTAGACTATTATTAGTTTTCAGTTAAAAAGTGCTATCTCAATCCAATTAGTTCTACTTTGTATTTCGTCAAAACAAAATGAAATTATGCATCTCTTAAATTTTTATGACTTTAAAATGTTTTTAACATTTATAATTTAACTAAATCGTATCATTTATTGACGAATGTTTAAAAGTCAATGTTCGATAGAAAACAATAAAATGTTCAGAATTTTGATTTCATGATAAATACTTCTTCGTCAGTAAAGCTTATCCATAATCTTATAGAAGCTAATACTTACTTATGGCTGTTACTCCTCGTTGAGGAGTATAGGTCGCCCACCAGCACTCTTCATCCAGCCCTGTCCTGTGCAATCCTTTCCAGCTCCTTCCAGTTGTTATTCATCCTTTTCATATCTGTTTCTATTTCCCGACGTAATTTGTTCTTTGACCTTCCTCTTTTTCACTTCCCTTCAGGATTACAAGGTAGGGCTTGCCTCGTGATGCAGTTTGACGATTTGCGTAATGTATGTCCTATCCATTTCTTTCGTCTTTTCCTAATTTCCTATTCAGCTGGAAGCTAGTTCGTTCTCTCTCACAGTAGGCTGTTACTGATGGTATCCGGGCAATGGACAACCATTTATAAATACTTATACCTTCTTGATAGTGGTTGTTGTTCTCCAAGTTTCATTTCCGTACAGTGGAACTGTCTTGACGTTGGTATTGAAGATTCTGATTTTGATATTGATTGAAAGTTGTTTTGAGTTCCATATGTTCTTCAATTGTATGAATGCGGCCCTTGCTTTGCCAATTTTCGCCTTTACGTCTGCATCTGAACCTCCTTGTTCATCGATGATATTACTACCCAATATTATAATCTTCACTCTGCTTACTATTAAATTTAAGGTATTTAAAAATGTTAAGGTGAAGGTGCCTATTTTCCATAACAATAATAGGAAAGTGTCATATAACCACCAAAGAATAGACGATTCTTTCATTATTATTATAGTTAATCTGAAAGGAGGAAGAGCGGTTAGTTCAGGTGAATTGGCTCCAGAGGTCTTTAAGGACGGTGGTCCAATTTTAGCGATTAGGTTGACTAATATTTTAGCTAAAATCTGGGAGTTGGACGTAATCCCGTCAGACTGGTCGCAATCACGGATTGTCCCAATATATAAGAAGGGGTCAAAATCATCAATGTGATAACCATAAAGGGATTAATCTGACTAACTTAGCATCTAAAGTACTAGCCTCAATAATTATCGGACTCCTAACTATGACTCGTGAACTGCCAACACGGGAAAATCAGGCTGGCTTCAGACCTGGTCGTGGCTGCATTGACCACATATTCACCATTCGTCAGGTTCTAGAATACAGGCATACTTATCGGCGTCCAATAATGGTGGTCTTTCTTGATATAAAAGCGGCATTTGATTCTGTAGACATCAAGATTCTGTGGCAGTGTCTGTCATTGAAAGGCGTACCTCAGAAGTACATAAACCTTGTGAAGGATCTTTACTTGAGCACTACTAGTCGAGTCAGAGCTTATGGTGAACTGTCATCTGATTTGGCAACCTCAAGTGGTGTCCGTCAAGGCTGTCCACTTTCTCCACTTTTGTTTAACTTCATCATAGACCTACTGCTGAAAATAATGCTCTCATCGACTGAATTTCTGGGGATTGATCTCCTACCAGGAGGTCCACTTATAGACTTAGAAAACGCAGATGACATAGTTCTGTTTGGTGAGAACGCTAATAAAATTCAGAATCTATTGGTAGCACTAAGTAACAATGCCAGAATGTTTGAAATGTGCTTCTCTCCCTTTAAATGCAAGTTGTTGCTTCAGGACTGGTCTGCATCAACACCTGAAATAAGGATAGGGAGTGAAGTAGTCGAACGCGTTATCTCGGAAGTCTAATCAGCCCTGATGGGTTGGTATCTGATGAAATCTCAGCACGGATTCAGAAAACTCGTTTGGCTTTTGCTAGCTTGTGTCACCTATGGCGAACGTAAGATATCTGCCTATCAATTAACGGACGTGTTCTGTTCTACTTTATGGCTGCGTAAAGGTGGCCGTTAAGAGTAAAAGATATTCGTGAGCTACCAGTATTTGATCACAGATGCCTTAGAAATATTGCTCGCATCTGCTGGGATCACCGAGTAAGTATTAGTGAGGTTCGACGCAGGGTATTAGGGAATGATGGTAAATCAGCTGGTGAGGTAGTGAATCTTCATCAACTGAGATGATTAAGTCATGTTACATATGCCTGAACACCGATTACCACGACGTACAATGCTGACTAGTGTTGGGGATGGTTTAAAGAAAGTTAGGGGTGGCCAAATCAAAACGTGGCATCAGTCCTTGAATTCATTAACTTCTAGTCTTAGCCGTGTTGGTAGTTGCAGACTACTTGGTTAAGGTCCGCGTGACTATCGTAACGAATGGTTGGAGACTGGGGGAAATGACCCAGAATCGATCACAATGCCGTCGGTATATACACTCTCTGTCTTCCCCTGAACTATGAGATTAAAATTGATTTATATCTTTCATTCTACGAACTAATTCTTTCTTCCTGTGCTATATCCTTATATACAATCTTTCCTTTATATATTACTACTATTGGAGTAACTACTTTTATGAATTAGGTATTCATCTTGTTGTGCTAATGTGGTGTGGCAACTTGAACTGATGCATATATGTGCCTAGTCCTACATTGTAGCTGACTGACTGATTATTATTAAAGAACATCTTAGGAACTCATTTCTTCAACTTAATATATTCTCTTAAGTAATTTTAATATTAACTCATTATACAAATTCTTGATAAATTAATCAAGTTTACAATAAAACGTCAACTTGAAATTTAAAAATACCACATATTGATTTAATATTCAGTAATAAATTTTCAATCAAGAGTAGTGGAATTTCAGAAGTGAAAAAAAAATAATTACACATTTTGCAACTGGCATATTTCGAAAAAAATCTCCATGATTTCCTCCAGATTAATGTTGTTATGTATTCGGTTCATGAAAACATTTTTTCCCATTGAAATATCCCATCATGGATTAAAGTGAGTTAGAAAACT